CAGTTCCCCGATCCTTTCCAGATTACCCCCGCCATGATTGAGAAGTTCATCATGAACGGTTGCAAGAAGGGTGACCTCGCCATCCGTGTGGACCACATTTCCGGTGTCCTCACCTTCGATTCGGACGTCTTCTCTTCATCTAAGGCTATGCACGCCGGCAGCTCCGCTGGCTCTGCCGAGAGCGAGTTTGGCTCCGTCCAGCGTCTCCAGCACACCCCGGCCGAGATCGCTCGCTTCCAGCTCTCCCGCCTGGCTAAGACCCTTCACGTCACCTGCATGTACGTTGATCCCTCTTACAACGAGGCTCGTGCCGAGGCCAAGCAGATTGCCCAGGCCCGCGCCCTGGCTGGTGCCGCCCAGGAACATGAAGAGACTCTTGCTCGTCGTGTTGTCATCGACAAGAAGAAGGAGGCTGCCACCGACGCCCTACAGAAGAAGCAGCGTGAGGAGGAGAACCGCAAGCGTATCCGTACCCAGCAATTGCAGGAGGCTGAGAAGCTGCGCCTGGCCAACGAGCAGAAGGACCGCGAGGCCAAGCGCATCAAGGACGAACAGGAGCGTATCCGCCAAGAGGAGCTCAAGAAGCAACTCGAGGAGCTCAAGACTGGTGTCAAGGGTATCGATATCAGCGAGTTCGATATGGACGAGCTCGATGCCAACCGTCTGCGTGCCATCAAGCTGGCTCAGCTCGAGAAGGAGAAGAACGAGCTCAACGACCGCGTCCGTACTACTGCCAAGCGTATTGATCACTTGGAGCGTGCCTTCCGCCGTGAGGAGCTCAAGCACATCCCCACCGACTACGAAAACCAGAAGAAGCACGATCTGGCCCTCTACGAGGAGCAGACCCAGGAGACTCTCAAGGAGGCCAAGCAGAAGCACGCCGAGGCCGTTGCCCTCAAGCACCGTCTGGGACGTCTCGTTCCCCAGTTCAGCAGCTTCCGCAAGGATCTATCCGAGAAGCGTCACGAGGAGTTCGAGAAGCGCCGCAAGGTCGCCGAGCGCGAGTTTGAGGCCAAGAAGAAGCAGCGCGTCAAGGAGGTCCAGGACCGCCGCCGTCGCGAGAAGCAGGAGCGCGAGGAGGAGGAGCAGCGTCGTGCGGAGGAGGAGGAGCGTGCCCAGCGCGAGGAAGAGGAGCGTACTGCCCGCGAGGAGGAGCGCCGTCGTGTTTTGATCGAGGAGAAGGCCAAGCGCGACGAGGAGAGATCGTTAGTCTTCCACTATCCTGTTCACTCCCTCATTATATCTGTATACTGACTTTTATCTTCACAACAGCAAAATGGACGAGATGGCCACCCGCCAGGCTCAACGCGAACAAGAAGCCGAGGAACGCCGTGCCGCCCGCAAGGCCGGTGCCCCCGAGCCCGAACGCAGCAGCGGTGCTCCCCGACTCAATCTGGCCCGCCCTGGTGGCGGTGCTGGTGGTGGCTGGAGAGACCGTCTTGCCACCCGGGAGACCTCTGGGGATGCCCCAGCCCCCGCTGCCGATCCTGCCCGGGAAGAGGCTCCTCGTCGTGGTGGATATCTTCCTCCTCACCTGCGCAATGCTGGTGGTGGCTCTGGCTCCGCCCCACCTCCCCGTGACAGCGGAGCTTCTGGAGACCGCTGGGCTCGCCGTGAGCCTGCTCCTCGTGAGCCTGCTCGTGAGCCCACTCGTGAGCCTGCTCCCCGCGCGCCCGCGCCCTCTGCCCCTGCTGAGGAGAAGCCCAGCAGCGGAGGTGGTGGCAAGTGGGTGCCGCGCTGGAAGCAGCAGCAAAGCTAAATGTGTGCATGAGTGGATTCGTATATTCTCTTCTTTTTATCTCTAGGGAGCGAACCAAAAAGTGACTCGGATACCTTCCTTTTCTTCCTATCTGGCGCATGTTATCATGACCTCTCTGCAATGACCCTGTATCATCGGCTTCCTAATGGGTGCCCTGTGGTCCGTCGTTTTCTCTTTGCGTGTTCATGTCTTTTTCTAATTTCCTTGTTTCCTCTTCGGTTGGGTTATTTTGCCAGCCGTGATGCCAATATCATGCACTACTCATTGCTTTGGATTCCGGATTTTGCCGGGGTTCAGTGAATAGGATCATCTCTCTAGACTCATTTCAAGTTGGACCGAACTTCATTTCTATAGTGCTCTCGTAGTACCTTCGTCAAGGCGATATGGTATCCCAATTGTGACCACCTCTGGTACGCTGGTACTAGTTGGGGCGATGCATGCAAGTTTTTTAACTCTGCTCTGCGAACTTCAAATACCCAAAAATTCCGACTGCCTGATACTAGTAGTACTGAAGGCTTTCAAAAATCAGTCAAGGTGACAACTTCAAATTCGGATACTATCATGATGTCGTTGAAAGAGGAATAGCTACAGACTGAATCCACCACTCACTGCTAGTTTATATGCGCTTGTATTTAATTGAAGTTTTTCATCCGACGATATTACACTATTCCATTCTTTGATATCTACATTTGACTCTCCACATAATTCCCGGCCGCTGCCAGAGTCGCATAATACAACGAATTCTCTGCGCAGATAACCATTCTCCCCTTCCCAGCGAAATTGAAGTTTGCCGAAGTCGTTCCAACGAAGATCTTGCCAATCAGCTTGCCAGATGGGTTCCAAACCTGGATTCCATCACCACATCCAGCGTAGACATTACCCCAAGAATCGCAGTGAACACCTATGAAACCAGAAGAATTGTGGTTAGAAAAGAGGGAACCATCAAGACGGGTAAGACGGGCGTTCGCAATGCTTACCATCCGGAAGACCAGGGCTGGCGAAGGCAAAAGTCTTGCGATTCTCGAGCGTGCCATCATCAGTTACATCAAATCGATAACTGTGGGTTCTCTCGGTTAGACATTGACGTCTCAAAAGTGATATATGGAAAGGGGCATACATTGAAGAGGGCTCTGTTAGATTGTTGCCGTAGAAAGAATAACCGACTCCTGTATCGGTGACATATGCATATTTTCCGTCCGGAGAGAATGTAAACCCTTTTGAGATGTTAGATTATTGTAAAAAGGTGCGTCATGGCTTAAATTGGCAAATTCATACCATTTGGATGCGTAAAGCCATCGGCAGCGATTCTGACGGCGCCTGTGTCCGGGTTGAACCGGTAAACCTGGTTTTGGAGACCAGGGGAAGGGCGGAAGTCTTGATAATAGCCATACGGAACATCGGTGAAGTAGACCTCCGTATTATTTGGGTGAATGGCCACATCATTTAGCGAGTTGAACTGTCGACCGAAGAAGTTGTTCAGAAGGACTGTGGTTTTGTGTCAGCGAGTTCACCCCCGACAGAAGCCTTAGTGCAATGCGCTTGTATGGGGACTAGCTTCACATTCTAGGCTCTAGGCTATAGGCCCTAGGCCCTAGGATTAAGGCTCACGGGATACATACTTTCAGTGTCATATGGTTCCTTCGGGTTCATGACATACAAAGCAGGAGCCGTGTCGTTACCCTGGCCCTCGCCTGCGAAGATCAACTTCCCACGATAGTTATTACCTCCTGAATTTGGTTTCATACGTTAGCCAATCTTCTTAATGACCGCCAAACCGGCAAGCTTTTCAAATAGATATGGACTCACCATTTGGATTCATAACCTTGGGCATCTCAGGAGAGGTGACATTGTGAACAGTCACCAGGCCCACGGCATCCGTTTTGTTGGCCACAGCCGCAGCTTTAGCTAGTGATATCTTTTCAATAATGGAAGACTTTTTGAGACCAGTGCCAGCCTCAGGAGGACCCGCATTTTGAGCGAAAAAGACCTCGTCTGTCCCCTTCGACCTTTTACGTCATATTCCATTAACAAGAGTCTTCGTTATAGCATGGGTTCAAGGTCACATACCACACGACTGCTTCGTGGAACAGAGGGTCCACCGCAGAATAAGCAATACGGGTCAAAGTCGGAGTGCTTCCGATGATCTTCAAGAACTCTTCATCGTAAACATGAAATGGTTGACTTGTAAGGCTCTTCTCGGTCATGCCCGGAGGAACAAATATCTTTTACCCCAGAAATAAAGTTAGCAATGGCAAGGGTGCAATGGGATATCCGAAGTCCTGCTGGAATAACACTCACATTCGTATCGTTGAACTCAGCAGGGGGACGGGTATTATTCAAGACATTGAATTTGCGCTGGTCAATGAGTTGGGCTTGGGCAGGAAGCTTGCCCGATGCCGACAAGGCTGGGCTAGCAAAGAGACACCCTCCCAGTAATAACCAACGAGATATTGAAGGCATGATGGATAAAAAAGAGTCCTAGGCTCAACGATGGATGCCGATCAAAAAGCAGGGCTGAATCCTACATTTATATACCTGGATCATAGAGTATGGCTCGACCCATAATTGGTCGAGGGCGGGCCCGGGGGGGAATTTCCCATCTCAGCGTCATTTTCATTTTGCGGGTGGCTGCCGTGCGGGGATTTTGATCAACTCCACCATAGTCATACATAGTAGGCCAATCCTCCGAGTCTGGGGAGCGCTGATCCCTGGATTTCCGGAGTTCTGATCGCAGTTATTCCGGCATTGACCTCGGATATTGACTTCGTCCCTCAATTATCTCGGAATACCACCGAGTAGGATGTTCTCACGCTATCCAACTGGGCACCTCCCACGTTGCCTCCCGCCTCCCCCGCACTTGTTGGGCTGCAGAAACAGGAACAGGCGTGGGGGGATTCGCGGTAGACAAAACCTTCATGGAGAACAATTTATCCTAGAATACAAGGTTGCAGTATTGAAGTATCAATTGAGTGGTATCATGTTTGAGGCTATATGCACATATCTAAGTTCCAGCATTGGAAATATTAACAAAACCACCAGGATGAGATCGTTCAGTTTGGGGGCAAAATCACATAAGAGAAGAGAAGGGAAGAGACAACAGGTGGATATCTGACAAGGGGGCAGGGCTGGGTGAAGGGGGGGCTATGAAATAAAAACCCACGGATGAAAAGAAAAAGCTCATAACAATCTAGTTGAATAAAAAAGGGGACAAATTGAAAAGAAAGGGAGCGTCATTAGATCTTTAAGCTGCTGCCACTTCGGCACCAGCTCCAAAAAGCTTCTCACGCCATTCGCCACATACGGCCTCAAAGCCGCTGACGACATCTCTGCACTCTTGACTGGCCTCACGGTCCTTCAACCGGCGATCCCACTCGCCAACTTCGATCCACCGCGAACCTTCTTCGCGGCTTTCTTCTTCGCGTCGCAGATCGGCCACGAGCTCTCGAGCAGACCGCAGTCGCCGGGACGCGGTGGCAGTTAATTGACGAGATTCATATAGTGTGTCACTCAGACCACGGAGAGAGTGGGTGATATCAGAGGTTTGGGAGATCAGAGCTTGCAAGGAAACAAGTGGATTGAAGGAGGAAGTTGTTAGAGGAGTCGATGGTCGAGAGTCTCGACGGGACTGTGATTGTTCAGGGAGTGGATATGGGAGGTTTGGCAACAGGCCTTCGTCGATGAGGGGCATGAGAGAGTCGATAGCGTCCTCGGATAGGAGCGGGAAAGGGGAGAAGAGGAGCGGATGGATGAGAGATTGTAGTGTGCGGGTTTGATGTGTGAGATGCGAAGTTATAGATGTGTGAGCGGTGATAAGGCTATATCAAGAGATTAGTTAGAATCGCGGGCTGGGAGAATATAACCAGTGGCTAGACAACGTACCGCATGGCGCTGTTTTCAATTCCGCTCTGTCCACCCAGATCTCGCAGCTCCTGAATTGTCCGCTGAATAACATGATCACTCTCACTGCCATTGTTCTCGATACCCCTCCGAGCGAGGCTTTCGATATCTGCCATTTGACTTTCTAATGCGGGTGAAATATCGGTCGCTTCTTCAAGGTCCGAGTCGTTCCCATAGTCGGAACCGTCGTAATGAGATTCCGCACGACGGTGTCGAAGTTGATTTGGTCGGAGTCTGTTCCTGAGACGCAGGCGAATCGGCCGATGGTGACTGGGTGCGCATATCGCGTACAGATTGCATGTATGCATCTTCACCATCACTGTGATCCATTGGTTGGGACTCCGCGGCACCTGTCTCCTGCCCTGACGCATAGCCATAGCCCTCGTCCTCTTGTTCCCAGGCATCTGCCAATTCATCGGCAAGATTTCCTAGGCCGCCACCACCTGCATCAGCGGAGAAGTCGACCGATTCACGTTGAGACCCAGCCATAGTATGAAGGTTTTGGCGCGGAGTGACCGGAGATGGTGGTGCGGAAAGCCGCGGGGTTTGAGGTTCAAGAGGACTCTGGGGAGCAAATCCATTGACTCCTGTTCCTGGTGAAATTGGCGATTCGTCTATCATTGAGGGGTTGCGGTGAGCGAGTTTCAGGGGAGACGGAGGGAGGGGCATTGCGACGAGAGGCGTGGGATTCGGTGAGCCCTCTGAATAAAAAGAAGGATATCGGGAGTTGAATTCGAAAGATAGCGAGTGAGGAAGAGAGAAAAAAAAATCAAAGAAAGAAAGGAGAGCAAGAAACCATCAACACCTAGTGCTGGGGTGTAGGAGATAGACAATTGTGGACTGCGTTAGGGCGTGTTGGTCTCGGTGAAGTCTCAACGTCTGCCGTTGCATTGCCTACACAGCAGACAAGTATGGCAGGCTGAAGAATTCGAAGGACCAGTGAATTCCAAGAATACAAAGGAGACACACCCGCAGAAAGTGTCACCGAAAGCAAGTTGTACATCCAAGCATAACGATGTTTCAATGCCGCCACCGCCTTGCGGGCACTCGGCAGAAAAAGACATCACCGGCCGGTCAACCCCACATTCTTCAAGCCCTCAAGCCTCAAAGCAGCCCACGATGAGTTCCATAACGCGCATGTCCCCGCTGGACTTGCTGTCGATGAACCGGACAAATCTAGATCCATTAACAGAGAACTATGATTTGGGGTTCTACCCTGAATTACCTCACCCGATGGCCATCGCTCTTCAGCGTGATTAAGGATCGCGAAGCTGGCGTGGTGGGATACAGTAAGCTCCCCTTACTGTCCAAAATGCACTGGCATTGGAATCTAACCACTTGACAGTTATGGGAAAGCTTGAGGAACAACACCCCTCAATGCGCGCCTCCGAGCACTACACCCCATGGCACGGACACATCACAGTCTTGACCGTCGCACCTGACTGGCGCCGATTGGGGTTTGCCAGCCGTTTAACAGAGCAGCTGGAGCATGGTTCCGATATCAACGACTCCTGGTTTGTTGATCTATATGTGCGGGCGGGTAACAAGGTTGCGATAGATATGTACAAAGGAATGGGGTGAGTTGCTCTCCAGAAAGAGAATGATCGAGTTTTAGACTTGCTTTTTGATCGGTTGATCTCAATGCTAACGCGGACTTCTAGATACTCGGTATTCCGGCGAGTGGTCAATTATTACAGCGATGATCCAACGGGGATGTCCGAATCGGGAGAAGACGCATTCGACATGCGGAAACCTTGCAGTCGAGATAAGAAGTTGGAGCATGTGCGGGACAAGGGTGAGGACTTCTTAGTGAACCCTGAGGATGTCTCATAGGGTTGAATATAATTCAGATCTAAACGAAATATGGGGTTGAATATTGAGGTATACAGTTAGAGGACCTTTTTTCATTGCATAGGACTGTACCTAGCAGCCCGAGGCGTTTCGGGATTACACAGTACTACTACAGGATACACTTACCTACCCAAAGATAGAGACATGACAGATATGATTATTTATTAAATGCTAGTGCCTTAGCTACGCCGGAACAGAGAGTTTGATCCAGCTGCGCTACTTGGTAGATAAGCTAGATACCCAGAAGGCCCCATCGAGCCGAAGTACCGGACAAGTTCAAATTCGCAAGTATCTCAGGCACATGATGCTTTTATGGGGACTATTCGAATTCTCAGTTTCAAATAGACCGTCTCTTGAATGAGACTATGCAACGCTGTGATTGCTGGCATACCCGGTAAAAGGATCCGATGTCATGCCTTCCCGAACATGACGATAGCGTGAATGAATATTCCAGCTTTTTTTCGTGAATCAAAATCATACGCTATCGAAGTCTTAGGCCTTTACCTTGAGATGGGGACCTGAGCGCACGAATCTCAAGGCGGCCATGAGTACCGCCGAGGCGACGAGGCAGCAAGCGGTGAATAGTTGCACTCCCAAATATTGGTTGGTATCGTTCAGGATAGCACCACCGATAGGAGTTCCTATCAACAGTCCGAAAGAGACGATGGCAAACATCATCCCAAGGCGTGTTCCCAGGTCGCGCACATCGGGGGTCATGCTGGCCATGACCACGGGTGGAAGAGAAACGAAACCCCCCGAGAAGAAGCCATAAAAGACGGCCAAGATGATAATGCCCGGGACAGTATGGACGCCAATCCATACAAATGCCAGAATTGATGTGATTGTCACAGCGGGTGTGAGCATGTTGAGCGGACCAACGTGGTCAGCCAGGAAGTTGGGGCCGATACGGCCGAAGGTGGAAGCTGCATTCAGCATCGAGATGAGGTAGAAGCCCAGGTTACTATCGACGATACCGGTCTCAATGGCGTAGGATTGCACGTAGAAGAGGAAGTTATAGAACCCCAAGAATCCGAGGAACATGGCCACAGTGAAAAGACAGAAGCCAAGCTCCTTGAAAGCCGAGAATTGGTAAAGCTTGCGCTTCTCCTTGGGCTTAAAACGAACACGCATAATCGAGAGGGAGAGGATGATGGTGCCGAAGCAGATGAAGCCGATAGCTCTAGTAGCCCAGGCAAAGCCGACTTCCTGCTGGAGCTTGTGGAACATAATGGGGTAAATCACGCCGCCTATACTGCTCCCACTGGCAGCAAGACCATTGGCAAGACCTCTCTTGCGTTGGAAGTATTGCGGTAAAATGGCGACCGAGGGTACAAAAAGACAACCAGCCGCAAGGCCAACGCAGACACCTTGCGCGAGAATAAGATGCCAGTACGCAGTGGAAATACTGGTCATCATTAAACCAAAGGGCAACATAAAAGCTGCAAACCCAATGAGACCACGGAAATATCCCGCATCAAATAGAGGACCGGTAACGACACCGACCATCATCAGGAGGAAAGACTGGAGAGATCCAATCCATGCTATGGTCGATGAGGAAGTACCACTCAACAGATCCTGTTCATAGTATGTCTGATATGCACCCCATGTATTGATAACACCCCTATCAAGAGCAAGTCAGCTCATTTGCATTTTTGCCATATAATCTGGTTTTTTTTTATGGAGGTACATACCATGAATTGAAGAAGAGGAAGAAAGAACCCAAAACTTGAAGCCATGATCGGAGGCCTGTGTCGAATGTCACCTCGGGGTCTTTGTCTGGGGGCAGATCCGTGGTGTTTGCAATAACATTTTCTTCATCTTTGGTGACAATATGGTTGTTGGCCGTCTGCTCTACTTCCGAATTAGTCGGACCCATCCTTTGTGATCTTGGCGCTCGTTTCGAACAAATAGATACTCGAGGGTAGCTCGAAAGCAAAGTCCCCGTGCAAATAAAACCGTAGACCAGATAGTAATGGAAAAAGGCGACAATCAGGTGCTGGGATAGTGAAATTTCCCAGGTCTGAGTCACCAAATGAATGCTAAAAAAAAAGAGAAAAAAAGAGAGAGCGAGAAGGAGAAAAAAATCTCGGGGATGATTAGAAACCAACGGCAAGCGGGGCAGTTAAGCAAGCGCGAGGGCGGACGATGCCGAAAGGCAGCGCCAGTGGAACGCCTCCAAGTTCCACAGGCATCCACTTGCCTGGACCATGGGGACCATGGGGTAGAAATCTACCCAGTTCTGTCGCTAAAGATGCGCTAGGACGCCTTGATCGGAGCCCGGGGGGATATCTCGCAGATAGACCAATGAAGACCGCCTAGAGCCGTGCCGGTTACCCAGGTGTGAGGGGCCAAAAGGTCCAGTGTGACCAGTTGCAGTTGTCGGTGGTTTTCACTGAAGTACCTGCAGGTTATGCTATGCACACATGGAAACTAGAGGGCGAATCGGAAATAAAAGTGGGACTTCGGGCTCTGAAGGTTTCTCCCCGAGGGAATCACTTTTGGTAGTACCCTGCGAAACGATTTGGAATTCTGATACAAGGTTACTAGAACTATTCTAATCAATCTAATCTAAGATTCGTCATATAGCAATCATATTTAACCATAGCGAGATTGAAGCTTCGTTGCACAAAGGCAAAATCCATGGGTGAGAAAGAGCACGGCACTCAGGTTGGAAATCTCTGCAGTATCCGATGGAAATATATTACTTGATATTAGTAGATGAGCTCAGGCGAGGAGATAAGTAGTACTAGAAGCTGATACTACTACAGATAAAATCAAGCGTGGGGTCGTTGAATGATATCCGCCGATATCTGCCGCCGGAGTTTTGAAGTGTATCAACTTGAGAAAATTCAAACTTGATCTTCCGGCAGACCAAAAGAACTGCCAGTACTCAGTGAAGCCAGTCATGTCAGTGTAAGCAGGTACTACGTATAAGTGTTTAAACGGACTGTGTTTGTCGCCTGCAAATTGATTCTACGGCGATATCGCGGCGATGTATGGGCCAGGTGAAACGTGGGAGAGAACTACCATTAGCAGCTACTAAGTGACTAAAGGTCCTTGAAGATAAAAACAGATTGATATGTACGAGTCTAAACTCAAGAATAACCACAGTAGCTAATAGTAAGCATCGAATGCGAAAATACTACTAGTAGCATTTAGATAACTTGAATGAGTACGTAGTACCGAGAGTACCGCTGGAGCCGGAAGAAAACATGCATATGCAGGTATGCGCCTGCAAGCTGAATTTGCTTCTTTGTTTCGAGTGACAGGCAATGCTCACTTCCGACGTCGAAGTTCTATTGCAATTACAAAATATCTTCAACTACAATGGAAATAGCTACTGTAGAAACAGTTATTAGTATTTTTTTGGTCTTTCTAAATTCATGTACAGTTCGTTGCCATGGTTCAAGGTCATTGCCTTTATTTTTCTTTCCTGAGCCACGGTTTCTAGACTCCCAAACTCCGAACGCTATGCTGAATCCACCCAGAGAAAGATACCCCAGTTCAAAGCAAAGGAGGGCCGATGTGCCAATTAAAGAAGCTCCTCGCAAGTCCAGTCCTCATACCTATACGATGCACCGGTTAGATCAATTGTCAATAGTTGCAGGCAAACCGTAATCTTACTTTCCATCCGGTAGATACCGTCGAATGATGAGAGGGATCTTCTTTTGGTTCAATTCCTTCATAGCGATCTGAAGAGGGTCGGTTTCACCCTCGAGGTCAACGAGCACGGGAGCGTTCATACTAAAGGCGAGAAAAAAATGTCAGTTCTCTTTGCTCCGAAAGATGGCATCTTTCCCTATTTCCCCATTTCCCAA